GAATGGTGCTGCAATGGATTTTTGGGTTTCCCAGCAGGACAAGATACTTGAAGCTCCACAGAAGAGAAGACATTGAATGAATTTCCTTTCATTAAATAAATAGAAAATTTAGGTTGTTGCAAAAATAATGTCCGTTTTGCAAATTTTTAGTTTGGAAGGCTATAACTTCGTTCAGTCTTCATATTTTTGAATGCAGTCAAGACCATTAGAGACAGCAAACCTTTCTTAATATAGCGCTTTCCTGCCCGTACTGATATCTCAAAAGGGAAGGATACCATGCGTCAAAAAACTGAAACTTTTTAATTTGAAAACTTCGTTTTTAAGAGCTTACAACTTCCTTCAAGTTTTGTTCGTATAGCTGGCAATCAGCTTATTTTGCAGACTCAAGCCAGTAGTATACGCCTGTATAAAAAAAATTCCAAAGAAGGAGTTCTGCGAAAAGCAAAGATAATAATTCAAAAATGTTCACTTTTTTAAGCCTATTTGCTGTAGGCTTGTGAGTGCTAAATTATAAAAATTTGGAATTCTTCGCGCACTGAATAGCTAAGTTTTTATTTAGATATCGTAGTTAAGGTGTGATTATCTCAAGCCTACAGAAATGGGAGAAGCTTTGGCGATTACCTCAATTATAAGAAATTTCTGAGCCACAGAATGTCAGCAGCGAGTATCTATTTCGAGGCGTCAATTCCTCAGTCCAGATATCTCCAAAAATCTACGTAACCATGCAGTAGGTAAATGATCCTCATCTAATATAATTGCTATGTTTTTAGAAGAATTCGTTTATTCTCCTGAATTGTGGCCAAGAAACTGAAAGCTATGAAATTTCGATTTTGAGTGCGGATGTGCAGAATGCTGGTGATATTCTCACAGATGAGGAAAGCAACTCAATTCCACCATCGTTAGAAATTACATGATGAGAGCTTCCTAATGATATGCAGGTTCTATATCGTACAAGAAAGTTTGACGGAAAAAAGTCTTTTGGAAAAGGGGCTTATGAAAACGGACATTATTTTTGCAACAACCTAATAGTATCAATTAGAAATGGGAGATCCTCAAAGCATAACTGTCTTTACTATGAACCTTGTGGTCTGATGCCAAGTAACACATATCAGAGAGATCGAAGAATTTATTTGAGGTCTTTTTGAAAAGCAACTAGACGCTAACGCCAGGTCGCTTCATTCAGCGAGCTGTCGTGTCCCATCCCCCCCCCCCCCTTCTCCGCCTTGCTCAAGAAAAATTTCTAGGAGCTCCACTGATAAATATGTACAGCCTAGAATATTCGTTCAGATTGCAGTCAACGCGCACGAACAATCAAAGAATTTGAACTCGGAAGTTGCTAGAAACATTCATTTCGTTGACCTGCTCGTTTTTAAAAGCGGTGGATCGGGAAAATCGCGACTGGAGGCTTTTCAAAACTACATGGTCTTCTGGACTAGCTGAGTCATGTACTGTGCTTGAAAAGTCGAGTGCTTTTGGCGTTTTCTGGCCTTGCAGATTGCTGGAGAGGCGGGGCGAGGGATTCCCGCCATAAACAGCAACTGGCTGCAGGAGACTGTAACTCTGTAACCCTATTTTGGCGGCAATTGGCTGATCACCCCAGGCGACCAATCGCGATACAGTTGACGGAAATCCCTCGCCCCACCTTTCTAACAATCTCCACGGCCGGAAATCGCCAAAAAAGTACTTTTTCGACTTTTCAAGCAGTGTACATACCTGACTCAGCTGGTTCAGAAAGCCATAAAGTTGTGGAAAGCCCCCACTCGCTTTTCTCCCGAGCCATTGCCTTTAAAAACGTCCAAATTTTCCAATTGAAAAATAGTTCAGTGAAAAATTTTCACCTTGAGAACAGGCACCTTTTGCAATTGAATTCGTGATCTTGTCACCACAAACACCTTTGGCAGACCGCATGCATTTACTTCTAGAATCGCATCACTTATAGATTAAACAAATCTTATTTTGGTACTGTTTACGAGCAGCTAACCATGGAAATGGGAGCACATGTACAGATAAGTTGCAAACGATATGTCTATCAAATCGTTTCAACGAAAGGCAATAGGTGAGTAAGTGTAAGGGCAATTCGACAAAGGACGAAGTCACAGTTTGTCGAATGATACGGAGTAATTAAGAATCGATCTTGAACTTGAAAATGCATGTCAAGGCCTTCTCAGTGCGCAAATAATTCAAGGCGAACATGAAACACGAGCAATTCTCTTCGAGTCGAAATGCCTTGATCGACGTCTTACGCCCTAGCTAGCCAGAGAGTAGTCAAAGCAGACGCAACCTGTTCCTGCTAAGCGTTGATCCAAGTGACGAGAAGTAAAAGGCAAAGAACGCTCCTTAGGACCGAAAACAGGGCTGATCTGCTGCTCCAGGGCCATCAACCGCTGATAGCCGCGCAAGCGACCATCGGATCTGCAGTCTGTGGGAGTTCGGGACGTAGCCGGGTAATCAAAACGCTCGTAAAGGCTGCAGCGGAGATGTACTTGAGTTCAAAACGAAGAGTCCCATTTTAGAACAGGAAGGTCAAGTCCGCATCAGATTCATTGAATCGGTAGTGGTGCTCGGTTATACTTGCGCAATTGTGACCCCCAGCATTTTCTTTTAGGACGGAGTGGATGTGCGATAGGCATTTTCCGAAAGAAGGCGCACTCAAACTTTCGGAAGCTAGAATTTTTACGCATTCTTTTGGAAGTTTGATGAAGGAAACGCAGCCCATTCCCTAAATATTTATTAGCGGGTGTAGACTCTCCAAGGTTGTGTGAAATCAACAACAAGTTCGGTAGTTCGACTTTTTATTAGATTTCTGTAACTGAGAGTGTGAGATTCTGACCTTAGTGGTCAACGTGTGATCAAGAGTGAGGAGAGACCTCCCAGGTGGACGTACAGCAGACATGGCCCACTTCTTGAACTATGACGTCATGTGACATAAGCATCGGAAATCATCGATCGGTCGATGATAATATTTTTACAAAGCAAGTTTGGGTTTTTTGAATCAAAAAATTTATAATCCACTTGCAGAAGCAAGTCACGGCACGGCAGCCCATGTAAACACTTCCAACAATTTCGTGACGCATTCTCGGAGTCGGAGGAGCGGGGGGGGGGGGGGAAAGGGGAAGGAGGAGCTTCCTCGCTCTTTGTCCAGCACTGATATGCATGTTATAGCAAAGTAATCAAAACCTCTGCTTACTAGAGCATATTTCACACATCTCAAACTTTGGACGAGAGTTGACTGTGATTTATAAGCAGCAAAATCTGCATCTTATTTGTGGTGAGTCCTAACTCTTGCTCTTCCTCTCCGCCTCCCATTCCCAAAAATTTACGTAAAGGACTATATGTCGCCGAAAGGGGAGGTCTCGCAGACATTGCAACAGATAGCACCTCTTGCATGTATGAAAGGTGCATAATTATAGTAGATATTCGTACGCATCCCTTTCGGCGACTATAATCCCCTACACGAAAGACTTTAACGCAATTCCGCTCGAAGCGCACAGTGGTACGCTCCAAAGACAGCGAAGCAAAAGCACCAAAGCAAGACCATCATTACTTTTGTGTCACATGTGGTAGTGCTCTACAAGAGTTCCACTCCGTTTCCTTTCCTTAACTTTGACATTCGTTTATGAGCCTTCTAAAATGTCCTGATGCCACGACGTGCACAGCCCTGAGAATTGCAGTAACCTCTTACCAAAGCTTATGGAATTACCATTGAACAAATATATATACTGTGATCTGGCAAGCATATGTTGCCAACTACTAGATGGCTTGCCATCAGTGCGTTGAAGGCACCATCCACCCAAATTCTCCTTCCATGTTTTTGTCGTTTCGTAGACGCCTTCACATATCCCCGAGTCCAAATATCAAATCCACGGAAACCCCGACAATCCCCGCTCCGCAGAAGCATGGAGAGTTCTCGCGACGGTGATTGGTTGGGTGCGCACAGATGGGCGGGAGGCCCACTTAACACATTCACGACAAGGCCGACTTCTCAATCACTGTTGTTTCGGACAAGAGCCTTTTTCGCTTTGTCAAACTTACGACCCACCCTGGGTCGTATTGTCCGAAATGGTAGTCTTTTTGGAAAAAATTTGAAGCATGTCTCCGAGAATACGCCCAGAGGAGCTGTAGGGCGCCGGATTCAAAATATGCTTCACTTAGTTTATTGCAAGATTACGGTAACCATTCTGTACAAACTCAACATCATGGATTTTCATGAAGAATTGTGTTGTGGAAGTTACTTCACTGCTGACCACAACTAAAGCGTTCACTTTATTCATCAATGTGCACAAGGGGGCTACGGTAGCAGTACGATGGAACTTTCTTTAAAACCAAAAAACTGATGTAAGAAGGCGGTACTAGAACTTGAGATTAACATTTTTATAATTAGCATGCTACAAAAACTATTTACGTAAGATGCAAAAATCAACAAAATCAATTGAATTGACATTTTTTTGATGGGTTATAGGCTCTTGACCGCCCGTACTGCTCGCATGTACCTGATGTTCAGAAACAACATTATTCTGCGAAGAATTTGAGCTCAAGGCTGTGCCTTATTTTTATCTACGGTATACCTACCGTAACCCTACATTATAGTATCCCGAGCTCGGACCACTCTGGCCGGTGCTTCGCTTAGGTGCCCTCAATCATATGCCAGAATTCAGTGAAATCCCATGAAACTGGCACAGCTAGAGCTTCAGGAAAGTACTGTCCGAAATGGCAAGCATGTACGACCCACCAGTGGGTCGTTCGTATTGTCGTGAAGGTGCTAAAGAGGAGGAGCCAACGTGGCGAGTCCGTCATCCGAAGCGATTTTCAGAGCAACTTCCTCGCTTCGGAAGCAACTTTTGGCAGTGCAGTTGGGCAATATACAGTTGGGAGCTGCGCTACTGTTGGGCTTCAAATCTCATCGACCTCATTTTGGTTGGACGGTGCTTTTGAGATCAATAAAAAAAGACCCCCGCAGCAAGATCCAGTGATTGTGCGTGCGACTGTCTCAAAACTAAATAGTTTGCAGATTAAACAAAACTTCATTGTTATAGAAGAGAAATGCACATTTTTACAACAGCTTATCTGCAAATTCACTAACACCATGGTTTGTGGAACACAAGCCTCCTAAATTCCTGAAAAGGACATGATCTTGTCAAATAAGCTTAACATTACTTTAACAGCGAAATCCATGAGTATGCATAACGTGGTAGTGATAATAGCGCTATATAAGAGAATGTCGTCTACGATATGACTAGCTACATATCCTAGCTATCATCAGATGAACAATTTGGTCTAAGCAAAGAACTTGTTGCTCGCATAAAGTTGGTGATCTGGGCCAACTGACACAGCCCCAGTTTGTTCGCGAAGGAACAAGCGTGCTCCTCGTTTGAGACCATGAGGTGTGAGGTAGTCCCAGGCAGAATGCCAGTTCACAAATGATGGTGCATAAGGAAGGAACGAGACGGCAAGGCCTAAAAACAAAATATATGGAAAAATCTTGACAATTTTCAGAAGGTAAATCAAGTTAGTGCTGCACCAACCCGATCCTGCAACCGCCATCACTGTGCTAACAACTTGATATGGATAACCAAACGAACTGATCACGAATGGTATTGCAAGGGAGGAGAACTTGCGGATATCCTCAACTTCCTGAAAATTATTGAATTTATTCAGCCCACTTCAACATGAAATCACACCTTTACACCCTTTCTGTCAGTCTTTTCGTAGAGACCGGCGTGCACAATGGCCCTTTCAGCTGCGTACAGAAGAGCAGCGGTTCCAAACACAATTACTACCTCTCCCATTATCTGAGGCACAATCCCGCTGAACAGATTCATTTTGAGAGAAGATAGCTACAAGTAATCATAATTACCTGAACAAACCACCTGGTCCCTCTTCGATGCCGATCAAGCGAAGGCTGGAGAGAACACCTCCATACTTTGCTTCGTGGCCAATAAGCTGGGCAATTTGCCGAATCATCACTACTGTAATGTGGAAAGATCTACGCTAAGTTGGAAAGTCCCCAGGAGCAAATACTTCTTTTATGTTCCAGCATTACCAAAGTACGCGCTCTTACGCACCAGTCAAAGGTCTTGCTACGGTCACAGTCGCTACACGAATTATGGAGTCTCGAATGGCGAAGCGCAAATGTCGTTTGAACGACTGATGATCGGAAAGCTCCTGAATAACAATGATAGGTGAATGGGGCGCAAAGCACTGACTTGCCTTTTCATCAACGTCAACAAATTCCGGCTTGCCTCCAACTTCAGGATAGTACTGGTCCAAATACTATAAACGTAGTTATTATATTATTGCACCAGATTTGAGACCGCATACTTTCTTGGTTTGGTAAGCGGTGACTCCTTGCACTATGAGTGAGCAAACGGCAGAGTCTATGCCAGTAAAAAGAACACCGAGACCATGCGCATGTGCCAATTGACTAGCTGAAATTGGGGGATTTGACGCACATATGCGAGCATAATGAATGCAACACCTGAGACTTGGATAAAAAATTAATGTACGTGGAGTACAAAAAAAATCAAGAAAAGGTTTAACAATAACTGCAGGATGCGTCGACTAGGGACACACAATATATCGGGTGATGAAGCAATTGGTAATTTTTTTCACCTCTTTTGAAAGCGTCATTCTATCGCATTTCATCATAGTACTATTCCACACTTCCAGCACAGATTCTTTCTAGACTGTACGAAGGCATCATGGAGTAGAGATCACAATTCTTGGAGGTATTAGTGATTTGAATGTCTCTCTGGTTTTTTAAAACTGCGCTATTGAAGACAATCAACGATATACGTTGTGCAACTGGGGACAAGCTGTGCGCAATAGCCTAGTGAGTGAAATGGTGGCGAATACGGCACTTCAAATTGTATAGAATATACGACCATGATTTTTGGGATGAAATGATTTTTTTTACACCAAGTATTACATAATTCGAAAGGATGAATACTATCCTTCCTAATCCACATTACCCTAATTTCCGGGGTATAAGGCGCACTTTGTATAAGGCGCACCCACCGCAGCGAACAATGGCGCGAAAATGCTTTTTAAATGATTGCTCTCTGAATCTAGAAAGCTAAAGACTCAGAGTGCTGTAATTATTCTTACTTCTTATAAATCATGCCTTCAGGTAGGTGATTCTTTCTTTTGTTTCCAGTGATGTTGCCTGTGCTGCATTTTGTGCTTTTCTTCGTTTCCAATAACACTACTGGTACTGAAACGGTCCTCTCTTTAAAGTGATACTACTGATACTTTGAAGGCGCTGTTTTTGTTTTATTCTTGTCATTCTTGATAAAAGAAAAGGTAGAAATTTGCTGTTGGCAGCTTGTGCGGTGCCGCGCATCGCGAACGTCATCGCACATCAGTCCGCGCGCGGTGAAAGCTACTGCGCCTTATACCCCGGAAATTAGGGTAAATTTTTTTCAATGATATCCAAACGATAGCAAGTTAGATCGGTCAAACGCTTGCGTGAACGTGTTTGATTGCAAATATCTCGCATGGCGTTGAAAATAAGGTACATGACAGGAATCCAGACACGATACACAACGGTTAGGTATAGCTTCAATTCTCAAGACAGCTTTCACCAGTGAAAATCCTTGACAAGATTATTAGCAGATAAATACATATCAGGTGAAAGAAACGCTCGTAACCCTTAAAAAAGACACAACTGAACTGACCATAGCTGAAAACGTTGGGAAGAAAGTAAGCGTTTCGTCCAGCCACAATGAGAGTCCTTCCTGTAGACAATGCAAACGGCTCATGACCCAACTGGATTAGGGTCTTTGCGCATGTCAACGGATAAGTAACGGTTGTCAGAAGAGCCTTCGCAGCAAGGCCTTTGGCTAGAACCTCCTAAATAATTTTCATAAGCAACCATGCGCTTAATACAAATGAGAAGAAGAAAGAAAACTTACTTCATCTTCCTCCAACCCGAAGAACTGATTGCGTTCTGCCGCCATGACCCTAATACTGAAGTAAGATTATAGCAAGTCTTATATTTCATTGTAGTATGTGGAAGGCTTGAACCATGCAAACAAATCGAAGTTTTGATATAATTTTTATTTTAGCTAAACGAATAACATGCAATCTCGTACAAACACACGGGTTTCACCAGCTTATGCCATATCACAGACAGTTCCTATCTCATCAGATCACAATAAAAAACTCCTTATAGAGTAAAACCATTAGACACATCTTAGGCATTTCTGCTTCCAAATTTCATGATGTCAATTACGGTATTACTCATAGGCGGTAAACAGATGCAAAGCCGATCACCGTATGTTGAGCAAGATATGAAGCTTGCACAATACAAGGAGCAGAATCAATCAATCATCAATCAGAATCAGAATCAATCAATAAAGTCTTTCGAGCACAAAAAGCTACCAAATGCCCGGAGCGGTATGCGCGTAAGTGTTCCTTTGAAATGAATTATAATATTTGTGATACAAAAGACTACGACCCAAACACATTTCCCAAAACGTGAAGTATTTCCTTTTCCAGCTGGAAGAAAGGTGCAGATGGAATGTAGGGCACAGGGATCGTAAGTGGCTCATAAGTTGAAAACATCAAAACAAAGTCACCATTTCCAGACACAGGAACATTGTACTGAATGAAGATGTTCAAAAAGAGTGTTGAAAATTGATTGAGCGTACCTCAGTGACAAAGTCTTTATATGTTAAACACTCATCAACATATGCTCGACCCAATATGCTCCCAGATGAAAAATCCAAATCTCGGTCTGGTAGATTACCTGAACAGTTGTATAAAACACTTCGAGAACCATACCTGATGCATATGCTACCTAGTTTGTACTGCTTCATGAAATCTGTCACCTCCTTGTTCGTGACTGCAGACACAGTCGAGCAGATGAAAATCGGACCTTTCAAGTTGATGTCTTCAAACCATCGTATATATCTGGAGGAAATGCATGAACAAAATAAGGGTGATGAAAAAAAAGTAAAATTCAATACGATAGTCACGATTATAATCAAGCAACTGCGGTACTACGGTCATCTTCTGCATGTTCCTACATGTTTTTTTTTCCACAAATTACCCCCTGATTGCGACTGCCAAGCTACGCACTTTTGAAATTACCCACTCAAAAGTAATCTCAAAATCAGTCTTCTGACAGCGGAAATAGGTAAGTAACTCCATAATGCTGTGTTAGGTACAATCATAAACTATCTGACTCACTTTACAATCCCATGCGCAACGAGCGACGCACAAGGTTGCGGAAGTGCAATCGTGTATCCACGTCTCTCTACCTCCAGTTTGCTTAATTCCTCGTTCATCATACACAAGGCGTCCACATCCGAAAACTCGTTCACGTTGGATGTGAAATGGTTTCCTCGACTTTGATCGTACTGCAATTACATGAAAATCTACAGCTCCAATAAAAAGCTTTAATATTATGCACTTATCTAAAATTTTTTGAAAAAAGAAAGCGCTTCCTACTTATCCCGCGTCAATACAGTAACATGAGCGTATTGTACGCTGAACCTCTAACGTCATCAACAAAACGATACTATGAACACCATGCCTTATCAGAATTAAATAAGTCGCGCCATATCTTGCCACGCAGGCAGCTGAATTCGTTCATTTCGCACTTGCCAAAATGAACAAGCTGAATGCGAACAGGAGAACTGTCCAAGCAATTTTTTCACCGATTTCTTTTTTTCACAGAACAAGTCATATAAATGCCAAAAGCAACCCCAAAAAACTGAGAGTAGCCTGCTCGATATTCCCAGCTTGTTTCGCAGTAAATGAGAACTAAACGATCTAATGCTGTCATGCACATGAGGCACACCGCGATGATCACAGCTTAAGCATAATATTTTTGAGTAACGTGATGAGAATGAAAAATGTACTAGTAACGAGCACTGAAAAAAGATACTCATTTCCATTGCTAAAACAAAGGTTTACCTTGGGAACGAAGCCCTTTGGGATCCAGTGCGCATCAACCGCTGAGTTCCGTGCAGCATCGGCAGCTCGTCTTCTCTCTTCTGATTTGTTGACTATAGATTCTATGACTGGATCATAATTCTCAGTTCCTACCACTCTGTTCTGAAAGGAAGTGCTTATAAAGAGTGGTGAACGAGCGTTGTGATTCGACCGATATGCTTACAAGAGAGATACCAACTTGATCTAGGAAAAAAGAGATGTACTATATCGTTGGACGAGTCTTCAACGCTGTCAAATCTGCTTTTCTTTTTGCGGAGGAACTCTCCGAAAAAAGCTCGAAGTTCAAGTCCAAATTCCAAATCTTGAGTGCATGATATTAGCGATAAGATGTACAGAAACAAGCACGAATTCCCACTGGCTGTGCCTTGAGTAGTATACTTGACACAAGATTGATTTCCCACTTCCCGGCGCTCTTAACAGCTTTTCGCTGATGTTATGCCACTTGAGCTTACAAACATAGACTTTTGAACCCTCATAACTCCCTTCGGAGGGTTCATCCGCATAAAAGGAAAGCAGTTTCGAAATCAACGTCTGAAGACGCTCGGTATCCTTCCCTTGGTAAACAAACAAACCTCTTCAGTGACCGACATGTCGCCCATATTTACACTGACTACAATATTTCGTCGTTTTTTCTCTCTAATTTGCTGCAGTTCCAAACGACGTTGCTTGATTGCAAGTCGCTCCTGCAACGGTTTACTGTGACACATCATCATGACCAGATTCATTTTAACTTGCCTCAGGTGTCAGATATGGACTATTTTCAATGCAGGAATAATCGCTCTCAAGATCATTCACTTTTGTACGTCGTTCCCTGAAACATATTCATGTAGTCTTAAGGCAAAGGCGATTAGCCTACATAGAGGATGAGGTAAGCGAGCTGATGGGTAAGACTGTTTTCAATGAGAGTGTCCTGCCGAATACTATAAAGCCCATCTTCAATTGCAGCACAGAAAGCTTTCGCCTCCATTTTCTTTTTTTTTCTTTTTTTTTGATTATTTCGCAGTGTTCGTACTTTCCCCACACCAACGGATGCACATGCGTATAAAAACCATGACGATCAAAAAAAATGTTTTGGAAACAGGACATGATATGGAGAGAGACAGACGCAGACGCGTTTAGAATTTTCCCAGATCAGGCGGCGTGTCACATCCTCCAGAAAAGTGTCCAGCTTTCTGGCCCCTTTGAAACTCCGAAAAACTCTATAAGACATTTACAGCAACAACCACCTGCTGCATCATTTCATAGCCAGTGGCCACTAACGAGTTGGTAGTTATACGGTAAAAATAAAATTAGAACTTCATTTTTCTAGAATTAAAAGAAAATAAACGTACTATAAAGTTCCATAAAGATGTGCGAAGATCGCACGGCAAGATTCGCGCAAAAAATTACGACAAAAAAGCCAATTTACCTTCGAAATTGTCAGAATTGTAATCACGATGTTTAAAAAACTTCCGCGCGTAAGCTAATTACAGAACGACCGCTCAACATTTATTTGATAAAAACGATTTACCCTAATTTCACGCATAGGACGCGGGGGATTTTTTTCTAAAATTGAACAGCACAGATACGCCGAAAGGCTTCGCGACCAAGAAACCATATGCAGTACTGCATATCGCCTGGGAGTATCGTGCAGCATAAGTCTCGTTTTCGGAAACACAACGAGGTGGCTGAGCGGCACGCTTAAGGAACCAAAAAAGGTGCGTCTTATACGCGTGAAATTAGATTAGTGTGTACTTTGAAAGAGCTAGCACTTGACTTTTGCTTGTTTTGGCATGGCTGAATCAACGTATGAATTCTACAGAGTGTAAATGACAAAATCATTCTGTATGTGTCAAAGTTCATGAACTACTAAGCTGACGATGTTGGGTGCATGTCGAGCGCGATTTTTGTAGCCATATGGTCATTGCATTTAGGTTTCATAGTGTTGATTTTATAGAGATGAATCAGATAGGAGTATGTGTTACTCAGTCTCTTCAACTGAAATGAAATTTCTAACATAAGTGTGGTTGTCAAGATCCAAGAGAACTGCAGTTAACAGTAACTGAAAATATATCGGTCAGTTTTTCAGCAAAGCCGCCAAGGCGAGCGGTAACTTCGAACAGCTAGTAAGCCAAAGCACTTTGTCTGGTATCTTTTGAAAACAAGTAGAGCGCTGAACTGAATTTTGGGTCGGTGAGTTCACAAATATCGCATCGTCTCCCAAAAAGTTGTGATTTTAACAGCTCCGATCCACCGTCTACATGGAAACGGCATCAACTGATTTGTCTATGCGTTCTACAAATGAACGACCAAAAATCAAGCGTTCATATATGACCAGGTTGCTAGAAGGGAAAGGTTTGGCTACAAATTGGCTATGAACCTATGCTCTTTTCGTAAACGTTAGGTCATAACCGCGAACAAGTATCCTGAACCTGTTGAAAGAAGGCCACCTATATTCAGGGTACATTCGATCGTAAAAGACACCTTATTGAAAACAGACTGACACTATTGTGATTGATAGTAGCCAATAAACGTAGGACAGATAGCTGAGATAAAATGAAGAGATTACACAGATTAAGAGCGCTAGATGGCCAAAATAACCCTGATGGGATGATGGAGTATGTTCAAATCGATTTTGTGATTGAAGAAAGTATAGGCGATTCATAGCACGCAAAGACTGCGGACGTATCGGCGTCTCCCTAAACAAGCGCTCTTTCGCTTCTCTTACCATCTGCCGTCTCTCTCATGCACAAACTGCCTCGGTTGGTCGCAACGGCGAACAGTCTTTGCGTGTCTTGAATCGGCGATATTAGAAATGCACTACCTTGCAGCTACAGACAAAAAATATAGATAAAGTAGAAATGCAGAGATCGAGCTTATGCAAGCAAAGCAAGACAAACATAGTTCATTATAAAAAGGTAAAAAAAATATGCGGCATATGAGAATGTGATGCAACATCAGCAACATTATAGAGTTTAGTGCTTATTTCACTTCATACAGATGACAAAAAGGGCGCCCACATTGAAACATAAGCATTAAACGCTTTGATAAGTAAACCAGTAAAAAACGAATAAAAATGATTGGAAAGAAACGTACGACTCATTACTTCCAAAATTAAACCGGCAAAAATACAGCTAGTAAAAATACAGCTAGACTTACGAGTCCGCATCCGCAGCAAGGAGTTTATTTCTGAACTGAGTGGCTTTTTGAAACTCTGCTCCAATTGTAGATAGCGAGATGTCTTTTGCGTGGCCGTCTTTCTTCGTTCCCATCAATTGATTGTAAAGTTCAGCGCTTTTACGAGAACCGCGCTCGAGAATCTGAATGTTCCATACGGTCTAAGACGTTTCAAAACTTACAGATATAGATAAACAAACACTAGCAAGTCGTGCTGTAAATGTTCTTGCAATTTTTCCAAACTCAAAAAAACAGTATATTATGTTATTTGTTATTTGTAGCTAATTTGCAAATTTTTAAAAATTCCCCGACTTTCGTTACTGAAAGCATTCGCCTGCAGGAAATTTGAAAAGCTCGGTAAAAAATGTTCCTTCCAAAAATCTGTCGCGCATTCCCCTTCCTCCTTTTGAAGAGAAAAATTCTCAACTCTGTGGTGGATGCCCATATCAACGAAGCGTTTGGAATATGCGGCGCCTAAAATTAGAACTCATTTACCTCTCTTTCTTCCTTGGTGCAAACGAGAGTCCCGCAAAAGAAACAAGGTCCACTCCCTTCTTGCTTACAAACAATTTTGCCGCAGCCGATACAATTCCTCACAAGAGGATGGATCCGAGCTTGACACTTGCACGGACGACGACCTGTAAGAAAAATTTTGTAACACGAATAAGTGAATCTCAGTTAAAGCGGTCAAATTAAAGGCACCGTTCGCCCAAAATGGAGGTTGGCAAAATTATGATGGCATACTAGTGTGGGCCCCCACACCAGGCAGACCTCCAAACTGCGCCGCAAAAGACTGCTTCTGGAGCGAGAAATTCGTTCCGGAAGTAGCAAAGTAGGCGGGGCGACCATGGTCACCGCGCCCACTTGCATGCTCTACTTCGCCTGCGCTTGCTGCAGAGGGTTCTCGAAACAGGGATTTTTGGGTTTCGTGGATTTTCGACTCCATATTCGAAATCAGGGCCTTCAGAAGGCCTGGAATCGATAAAAACATGGAAGTAGAGAATTTGTGTGAACGGTGCCTTTAAACGAGGTGTGAGGAGGGAGTGGGGTCATACACCGAATCTCTAATTTCTTTTCGTAATCTGATCAGTAGAAGTTTGCCTTGGAATCTCTGTTTCACATAGATTTGACGTGATCAATTTCCTTCAGAGTTAAAAGCTTGAGCATATTCGCCACAATAAGTCTCCCCTACAGCAACAAGAGATTTCAGCCAAAAAGCGCATACCTGGGAGCAGTTGGTCACCGATAATAGCCTCAGCCTTTGCCGCTAATGTGTTTTTCTGATGCGCCACTCCACCGACTTCAGTATCGCGTCGATTGGAATTGTTCTTACGATCCTTCTTGTTACCCATTCCTTCACCTGAATTAACAAGTAGGCTTCACATTAGGAAACACTCATCGAGGGGAGAAAAATACGGGAGAAAAAATACGTCTTCACCAAATCTCACATATTTGAAGGATCAGTGGATCAAAAGATTTGGAACTAAAGCACATGCACGGTCGACGAGTCCTTCACCTCCCAAGGAATAGATATCAGTTTAAGTTGGCGACTGAGACAGATGTATAACACTAGACGCGCCTACAAACGCTGACTCGAGACCTGTTGACTTTTGCGGAACAGCTCTCCGAAAGAAGCTGAGAGCGTTCAAATGTCCAAATTTGCCAAGCCTCGAGTGGTGTAAATTTGGCGAGAAGCTCCACAAAAACACCTATGCATATTTCCATTGCCTGTGTTTCTTCCTTGTAGTCGATATACTTGACTGATATACAGTTGATCACCCACTTCCAGATACTTGGTAAAGCTTTTTGCTAACATTATGCCACTCAAAGCATGCGAATTTGCATCTTCGAACGCTCATATCTTTCGGGGAGTGGTTCCGCAAAAGGAAAGCAGATTTGGAATCAGCATTTGAGGATATTTATCTGTCGTCGAACATCATCTTGAATCGTCAACTCTAGCAGGTGTCCTTCCTTTGCCAGTATGTCTGGCGAAGTCGATGAGGAAAACAGATGCAAAGTAGAATCAGACTTGATCGTAGTCCTGTTGCAAACGTGAAAGGTACGCTTTCCAAGAGAAGCTCCTATACCATACGATATTGATCATCAGAAAGAAAGCCTACCATTTACCCAATACCAAGAGAGATCAAGGAAGGAGAAGACACATTAAAAACAACTGTGATCAAGGCCATTCATCAAAGAATCTTGAAGCGGAGATCTACTAAATTTTCATATGCTTCAAAGGCAGGATTATCCGGCATACTCTTGCTCGGAAGGTAAATAAACCTCTAAATACGTCAACATATACAAGCTTAAGAATAACAGTATAATAAGGTAAAAGAAGAACGGTAAGCTAAGGTAAAACAACCTCAGATGAACGATAGTAGATCCACCATCGTCCGACTCTCTCAACTTTGGCGTAAAATGAATTGTCTACACAGTTACACATTCGACGCCATTTGCAGAGGCGGCAATATAAAATTCCATTTTCTGGCACTTTCTATCTCCCTTGAAATGATCCTGAAATGGATCGAAAACGTATTTGGGATGATATTTTGCAAGTTGTGCTGTGAAAGTATAAACTGGAGCGCATAAAGAAAACAAGGGTGGAGTACTAGAGGAACGACAAATGGGTGTCAACTATCTGCACTTCTTAACCTTCAAGTCTGTCGATCCACAAACAAAACTTAGATCATCTTCTTTTTTGTACTTCCAGTGGGACTGGCGAATTGAAAGGATTTTGCATGCTTGGAAATGAGGTGAAAAATATGGAGTTCTTCATAGTTTTCATTGCTAGAATTTATTGAGTCCGAGCGAAGCTTGTTAAGTTGAGCATTCAGTTCAGCTTCCCTCCTTTGAGTCTATCTTTTGACTGACCCAAGATTATTATCTTAATATCGAAGCTAAGTAAGTACAAGATCAAAATTGCCAAGCAGGGAAAAGCTCAGTAGGAATACGGAAATGCTGAAAATTCCTGCGGAAATACGCATAGGCTTTGTTTCTCCCAAATTTTATCGTCTTGTACTACATGGATTCAAAGGGAAAACGTTTGTAAGGCACCGGCCAGACTTCGCTCAAAAGCGCCCGAATTTGTTTGGTATCTCTTCGCATTTCTCTCACTTTTCCTCAAGCCCATTCCGCGGTAAGTAGAACTGTGCCTGAAATCTCTTGAAATGGATTTATGCCCTTTTCCGGTTTTGGAGACTGCTGCATGGACTGGAAAGGAGATTTCCTCCAAAAGAGCGACTGACATCTCCAAGGCCAGAATACGTCAAAAAGCCACTAGCAACAGATTTCAAGCACTTTCCTGGACTTAGCACATTCGGAAGGCTGAGGAATAAAGAGCGCAGTAGCAATTTGTCCAACCACTGCCTTCAAAAAAAAAATTTTTTTTTCGAGCGGTCTTGGGTCTTTTTGAGCGTAGTCTTGCCGGTGCCCAAAGTCGTTTCCTTCATCCTCGCAGGATTACCTATTAATGAAGTGCCCATTGTGGCAGGTGCCAGACTTATTCGCTTCATCCGGTTCACCCCTTTCTATTGGTCAATTCAGTGGTTTGACCGATAGCGAAAGGTGAAGAACGAATCGGTTGACCGGGTAGTTCTGGCACCTACCTTTGCTGCCACAGCCAGTAAGCCGAGCGATATAAAAACTCAGAGAAGTATTTTCAAACGTCGTACGTCGCTTAGGTTTGATCATTTATGGAACAAGGTTTTTGACTGAATGGGTACTCGCCCATCAGTGGCGTACCGAGGGGGGGGCGGGGGGGCGCGCCCCCCCCCCCCCCCCGAGAACGGGTCGCGAAATTTTTGAAAGTTACTTACATGGGTTATAAAAATGTGCAAGTGACTTGTTTTTACTTGTAAATAATTAAAATAATTTTTAAAATTTTTTAAAAATTCATTTTAGCCTTATAAAAAAATTTTTTTCGGGGGCGTGGCTGACGCCACGCCCCCTTTTTCCAGATTTTAGGGGTCGGGGACCCGGAAAAATTTTGAGAAGCACCCCAAAAAATTTTTCGGAGTGCGTGGCTAACGCCAGGCACCTTCTTTAGAAAAAAATTTTTGTCGCGCCCCCCCCCCCCCCGAGCCGAAATCCTGGGTACGCCACTGTCGCCCATTGTCTCTCCAAATTAACTTATTGTCAGAGCCGCCAGCTTCGCTGAAGTGAAGTTTCTCGAAAGGGGACTACAAGGAAATCTTGAGAGTAAAAAGGCGTAGCGAGCCAATCAAGCTAGAAAAAATCACAAAGCTGGAAATAATCATTGTATATAGAATAAATAGTGCAGATAGAAGTAAATTTTTAGATTCCAAAATGTCGCAGCTCACACTTGGCCTCTCACCGCGTAACAGAAATGCTGCTCGCGGAATATCATCATTGTGGTTAAGTGAAGCTGGAACGAAGGCTTCAACATCGTGCCACATTGTGGCTTTTCGATCTTAGCAAAAGAAGAAGAGAAGGGATATCCGCTGCTGAAGAATTGGGCGAGAGTAAGCCGATGCTAGATGTCGCGTTGACGCTTAAAAAAAACCCTGTTGACTGTACACTTGACCGTTCCTCACTCTGCCTGCTACTGGTGAATCTCACCTACCCTCTCATGATGTTTTACAATGTATCCAATTTTTAGTTGCTTTGTGTTCAATGCAGCTATTACCTACGAGTTTTCATTTACTGCAATATTATGTATACCATATGAAAGACTTTTTCTTGGTTTCTCTGATGCTCATGAAGTTTTTCTGAAACACTTCTAAATCTGAAATTCCAAGCCCCATAGCACGAGTTGCCGGAATGCAGCTTATGCTCAGAGGAATGTGCTATGAAAGAAAGCTCCGCAAAGCCTTAGGCTGGGTTCATGCTGATTCGTAAGTTCCGGAAAAGTTCCAGCACAGCGCTCGAATTGTGCCCCGTGCTAGAACTGTTCCGGAAATTACGGGTCAGTATGAACCCAGTTTTGAAGTTGAGTAGATTTTTCGCTTAATATATGTTATGAGTAGTGGGCTTTTGCAGCAGTAGCAGCGTTTAATGGGCTAACGTATGCACACTTTTATTGTCAAGTAGAAATTGGCTCACTTTCTGAAGGTCCTCAAAGATTCAAATGATGTGTTCAATATTGCATATGATAGAGTAAAGCAAAAGCAAACAGAGGGCATATCAGCATATCAGTTTTTTCGTCATCGACAAGTAAAAAAATCAAATAGAAAATCGGTATGTTTGAGCATCCGGAAGAAGCTGCAATAGTGGCTTTTCTAATCCGCTCACAAAAAAACCCAAGCGCTACATAAAACCTTTTCAGCTATGATATAATTTCTGGTATAGAGGCTAATTATGACAGACTGTTGAGATTACAACTAAGCATGTTTGTCTATCCTAATGTAGGAGTATTAGTATGTCGAAGTGAACGGTCTTGAAGAAAACTTAGTAAATTTTCTAATTGGCTTTTCTCTTGCTTGCAGCCTTTATGTGTCGTGATGTCCCTTTAATAGCAAAATTTGCTCTACCCAGCTTCCAAGTGTTCAGACACTTAAAATCAGAAAATCTGAAATCGGTCACAACCTTCGGTAGAACCTAGTATCACATGACCCATTACAGTAATCGATGTAATTGGAGGTACTCTTGTGCTACAAACTCAATCAAGGTTTATGTTATGAGACAAGTACAGCACACCTTCAGAAAGGGAAAGAGAGCAGAGATCTGCATTCAAGTGAGATAGGTTAGTTACATATCCGTCAACACAGTGATCCTTCATCATACTGAACCTTGATAGTCTTCAACAAGTAGTACCCTAATGAATATGATAAGATTGTACAAAAAAATTGCTGATCAGATAGCGAAAGTTTTCAGTCTTCTCGGAAAGTATGAAATGCATTCGTTAGATCCTCCTCCGTCAAGTTTCGGCGCGCCTCCAGCTGTAGCGTAACAGCAGCAAGAAAACCAGGAATGGAATGGCGTTCTCCTATATACCTAAAAAAAATTCATACTCAACAAAGGATGGATATAAATGGCGTACTTCTGCATCTCATGTTCCCAGGGACGTCCCTGAGAGAGTACGTCCTGACCAACATCCAGTAAATCGACTATGCCAGTCTCGGAATTGTACTGTAAGACGACATTGCTGGAAGCTCAGAAGTGAACAGTATGGGCTGACCTTGAACACAAACTGCTTTTCCGTATCATCATAGACGCTATTCACGCAACAAATTCCTTCTTCCACATCTTTCAACTTTATCTGATAACCCGTCAGAGTGGTAGAAAATTCTCTGTAATCAAGACTTTTTGCAACCAAACCCCGTGCGCCATCACTACATGCCTGTATTTCTTAGCGAGATCGGCTTGAAGCCTCAACGCCTCTTCCTTTTCTCGTTCACTTCTCTTTAACTGAGCCTCGAGGGCATGTATTTGCTCATCACGAGCTCTCTTGGCCTCGCTCGATTCTGCCGAGAAAGTCTCGTCCTGTAAAAGAGAAAAGCTGATGATTACGTATGTGACTATAAATGGCAATGCCTCTTACCGCTCTCCTCTTTCGCGCGCGTTCTTGTTCTTCGTCTACAGCAGATTGTAAGGGATTGAAACGAAGATGCAAAATTTGCGTCTCATCTCCAGCATCAGTGGCTTCTCCTTTAGCATGCTTGAGTTGCTCTTCCAGTTGACGCACTGCTTCAGTACTCTTAAATGTGATGATAACCAGATTACAAAGGCTTTTTCAATATTATAAACGTTTATAACCTCCAAAAGCTTTCCCTCCAAAGTTTGTATTTGCGACCGAGCAGCACCGAATTCTCTCTGCACTGACTCCAACTCCTCCGTTCTCTTTTCCAAAGACTGACTTAGAGAAGCTGCCAAGTTCTTCTCTCGTTTCATGGAAGCTTCCAGTTCTAGATTCAACCCGGTTCTAGAAAAACAAAAAGGCTCAAATAGGAAGTCCTGCTCAGAAGACGAAAATGCCTACAAATTGTCAACCGTCTGCGCCAGCTCCTCGCGTTCATTGGTTAGCACCTCCACCTTGCTTCTGGCACTTTCTGCTGCTAAGCGTGCACACTCCAACTCTTTTTGCAGCACTTCGTTCCTGGGGAAGAGCAATAGTGTCAATCTTTAAAGAACGAAAAAATCTGAAAAATTTCTAGAATTTTTTTGCAGATTTATATTAGCTTTGAAAAGAAAATTTTTCCGCGAGCGTGGCTATTGCCAGTTATAGGCTCACTAAAAGTCGGAGAGCACCCCAAAAATTTTTTTCAGAGTAACGCCATAACCCTGCATACAGAAAAATTCTGTCTCCCCTCTTCCCCCCTCCTCTCCGGGACAAAATTTCTCTAACCGCCTCTGGTGCACAATCACTTTCAAGCAGACAATTAAGATCAAATTTAGCAGGGTGGAGGAGTATATGTCGTTGAATGTAGGAGGGTACCGCGCGGACTTTTTGCAAAAATGTATCTCCATGCATGTGAAAGGGTGCGTAGTATTTGTTGCAGATTATTGCGGGAACGTCCCATCTCGGCGACATATAGTCCTCTAGCCAGTTTAGCACTGTCTTTTACATTTTCATTTATAAACTACAAAATGCAAACACGCAAAAATGAATATTAATCACCTACTACACTCCCAACAATAAGACTTGAGCATATCTCTGCATTAGTATGCTAGCGAAATTCATTATCGCTCATCCCCCCCCCCCCCCTCCCCCACCCTCCTCCCACTTTACATGATTCAGAAGTAGTAGAAAGCGACTGAGAATTCCATACATGCACATAACCGCGATTGCAGAGAGAATGTGAAAAAAAAAAACAGAACACCCCATTTATAAACCATTTGCAGGTAGCGACTCTTAAGATTGGGCAACTTTAAAAATTTTTTTATTCCCCATTCTCGTGGATGAGCTGAGTGCAAAATATGCTTTGCAGCTTGTGAAGATATTGATGACTCGCTTTTACGGATGTTGAAAGTGCTGCTTGGGCGGGAAGCGAAAGCCCGGCCTCTAGAAAGCGATTGGCCGGTGGCGTACAGATGGGTGGAGAAACCCCACCCATTTCGGCGGCAGTTGGATTATTGGCTCTAGCAGCCAATTCTAAAAAAGGGCCGGCTTCCCCCTCCCGCCCAAACAGCAGCTTCCACGTCCAGAAAAGCGAGTCATTCGTATTTTCAGAAGCTGCAAAGCACAGTTCCAGACTCAGTCCATCCAGAGTAGTCAAGAAACGACGAATACCAAAGTTCTCAATATGCTGAGCCACTGCCTTGAGACAAGCGCGAACAGCTCAGACAGTCGATGTGATACCTCCGGAGCGCGAAGTGGCAGACTCGCGCCATATGCCCGCAGGAGGTATCCCTTCGACTGTCTGAGAGCGTAACACGCGCCTTGCACCCTAGGGCCTGGTAGAGTGTATAATGACTGAGGCATGTGGAAATGTTTTGCAACAGTTACGAGTTTATGGAACGTCTAGAAACAGAATCTTTCGGTTTAATCAGAAGAAAAAATACCTGTCATTGAGATCTTGTACACGCTTCATAATTTCCGCCGCACGATTTTGTGTGGAAGTGTCCATGACATCGAAGATTTTCTTGGAACAGGCGGACCGAAGCGAGTTTAGTTCACTCTGAAAATGATCAGCACATGCGAATTTTTCCACGAAGAACAGTAACAAACCAGCATCTCCTCCATCTTCTTTTCTAGCAGATGATATTTTTGTTCAGCGCTCGTTTTCTTCTCTTCCATTAGCATTGATTTTTGTGCACGGTCACTAGAAATCCAAAGGTGAACAGAAGAGATTCGAACAAACAAGCAAGTCATTCGACCACGTATAGCTTCAAAAACGGTAGCTAATAAATACAGTGTTATCAGTTTGTTTCAACTCCTCATTACAAAGATATTAGAAGACCTCATAAATCAAAAGAGAAACGTACAAGTATACTGTAAGGCGGTCTTTCAGCTGGCTATTCTCCAGCTCTAGTCGCTGAATCTTCTCGTCCTTCTCATAATCAATCGAGGTATTTGCTAGAGTGCTATTCAATATCGATTCGCTCAGGTTTGAGACAACTGACTGATTGCCTAAAAATTCTTCTACAAGCAAAAAAGCAAAATTCGGAAGCGGAAACAAGCACATCTCAAAACAGTTAAATCATGTACAGCTCGGTGGATTAAAAAACATGACATATTACCTTCGTCAAAAACGGCGGATTGTATGGGGGAAGGTTCTCGAAAAATGCTGCTCCCAACATCTGAAATGTTGCGGTTCGAAAGATCCCGAAAATGCATTCTCTTGCGAGGCATATCTGACTCGTTTCATCACAAAAACCATCGAAAAGCGCATATAATGTACTAATTTTACTTACTCGAGTACAACAAATGTGTTCTCAAGTTCTCCGCTAAAGGATCGGGAAACGAAAGAAAAAGGAAACGGGGGATTTTCCCCATAAACGTCCAGTCTACGTGATTTCAAGCTTCTCAATTATTCTATGCGACTTAGTAACACCAACCTTCTCTGACAGAAATTTTGTTCAAATCCTCCAGTGTGTGCGCAGCGGTGTCCAAAAGTTCGCGAACATTATCTTCAAAGCATCTTAGTGGTGGAACGTTCAAAGTTAATTCAAGAATAATAGTTACCCGAATTGATCTCTTCCGGACGGCACTCAGACGATGTCCAGGCAAAGTCCAGCTGCAAATAGGGATTTGACTGGAAGTTGAAATTTCCGACACAATACTGAGATAGCGATAACTCTTACGATGATACGGACAGGCTCTTAATGTGCTGAGATCTACAGACGTGTATTTGGCCCAACTTACACTCTTTTTCAAGTCTTCAGTCATATTTCCCCTGCATTGCAATTCCTTTTCAGCAATTTCAAGACGTGCTTTGGCACATCGAAAGTAGCGATGAAAACGTGCACACGCGTCCTGCCATTCATCACGGGAGCGTTCGGCCTAAAACCATGCGATGAATTCCAGCTATTGAAATAAGATATAACAAATGGTTCGGAAACCTGACGCTAAACCTATCTATTTCCACATAGCCAATGCTTGCTGTAGAATCAATGGAATGCATATAGACTAGTGAAGATAAGGATGAGGTGTAAGTAAATTTAGTAAATACAAAGGCTTATGTCCAGATAAAAATCAGCAAAATTTTCGACTTTTCCTACTGAGTGGCTCAGTTCGGAACCTTACGATTCAAGATGAGAATATTAGAAACTCGTTTGCCGCGAAACCATCAACTGTCGTAAGACCCCTCTTTGCGACAATTCCGCGCTTTTACTTGTAGGCATTTCACGGCCATCAACTATTGTAAGCTGCAGAGGACAAAACCTAGAAAATCCTTCTACCTTGACAGATACAGAGCTCGGTCAACGTACAATCAAACGCATGAAATAAACACCATAAATGTGTGACCTTCTGAACTAGTCCCCTAGTTCGGATAACTGAGAAGATATGGTACACCCACCTGTACAGCCCTGCGTTCTGCTTCATCTAGGAGCGTATTGTCGTTGCGTCTGATTAGCTCTTTTTTCAAATCCACAATTTCCAACAACTGTTGTTCAGCACGCTCGATCATGGCCTCGAAAAACAGCAATAGTGCCATAAGAAGCATGTATCACACTTACCTTCTCCGCTGTTCTAAACCTCTCGATTTCCTTCTCTGTATTCGATAGTTTAGTCTCAAGAAGGTGAACATGCTCTTTCAGTTCAAACATCTTCACATCAGTGTTTACAGCTAAAAAGCCTGTTTAATACATCAGTTGAAGGACATAGATCTAACTGCCACATAAATGCTTGGCTACGCACCCGATGGTAAAGTGAAGCTGTCGTCGAAATTGAGACGCTTTGAGATCTGCGACAAAGATGGAGTGGCTACAGGTACAGTTTTCCGCGCTGAGTCACCTCGTAACGGGAACGCTTTGCGAAAATCCGCAGTAATCTGAAATATAACGACTGTTGTGCAGTGCGGATAAATTCCCGCTCACTTCTAAGTATCTCGACAATTACACCAATAGTCCGAATAGATCCAGATCACAAACAATCATGGATGCGTCTCAAAGAGGTTTTTTCAGACTGCGTACTTATGCGGAGAGCGCTACTGTCGCCTCCGTGCTGCATGGACCCTAAACCACGGCATACACCACGCTCCATCGCGACTGCAGTTACAGGAGTAGAAAAACGAACTCCGCCACTTTGTGTCGCCTCCGCGGACTACTAGTCCTGCAATGAAACCGACAACATTGCAAAAGGACCACTTTCCATTGAAGGCGGCTCGAACTGGCGAGTTCGTTCCCCACCCGGATCGTCACGGGTCTGAAGGGCCTATGATATAGTGGCAGGAGCAATTGTCAGCAGTACCGACTTTTTAGTTGAGATTCGAATCGCAGCATAAAGAGTCAAAACACAGAAACAAAGGGCAAAAGAGAGCAAATAAAGCTAACGTAACACATACCTTTCGACTTAGTTGTATAGTAGCCTCCGAAACTTCGCCTTCATCATCCTCATCATCTATGTGACCCCCGCGATACATGATCTTTTGAAATATATAGTGATCAGCTGTAATCAAAGAACGCATCAGCAATCTTATCCAAGTACAATTATGTCGACATTGACGAAAACCACGAAGCTATCTGACATGTGAATCAAATTCATTTCTTTTTAGACTTTGAATGAGCAACAACAAATGAGGTATAGCATACAGTGTTCATTCTTGACTATTGATATTTACAACCTAATAAGGCAATAAGTTCGCAAACAACATTAGACGGCTTGCTGATCTCGACGACGACGAGCCTCCTCAAATGCCATCTGCTCCCGCAAAAAGTGTTCATACTCCTCTTTTCTCTTTTGAGCCAACAATTGTTCTTTCCACTTAGCCACGGCCGCGTCTCCCTCACTACTGTCAGGAACCTTGTATCCCTTCATCTATAAAAGACCATTATACTTGCGCTCAATTGAATCATTTTCTAAAAAAACTTACGAAAACTTTGAAGATGGACGGCTGATTAAAGATCCAAAAAGCAACCACTGGAAATGCTACCATAAGCGCAAACCGTCCCGTCTCTAACTTCCAGCCTCCCATTCCTGCATAATTGATATGCACAATGTGATAGTGTTCTAAAGAAGGTAGCGACTTGATAGTTACTGCATGATCTGTTTCAAAAACCAGGTGAAGCATTTTATCTTGAACTTAAACTTGGATATAAGAAAACACAGAAATATCTCGTATTGAATAACAGAGAGCAAGAAGAAATAGAGACTAAGGACGTGATTTTATACATCTATTCAAGAACATACCAAGAGCAGCTAATGTAATTTGACAAGCTTCATGGAGAAAACTTCAAGACAAGCTATAGCAGCCCTCATTCAAAAAACTTCTCTTCTAAAAACACTCCCTACACTTTGTGTGAAAGTAGAAGAAGAAAAATGAAAGGAGCCAAGTATAATTTACCTTGGCTTATAGTGTCTAGCAAGAAGCACCTACATATCCCCGCCCAAAATAAGCTTATCGATATGCAGAACCTTCTCATTTCTCTCAAAGTCAAGGATAGGCAGATTACGACAATCTTCGCTGATCAAGCACGCTGTATATTCGAGTTGGATTAAAAGTTGAACTGAGCATTTTCAGTACCTGTGTGGTGAAAGCTTTGCATGTTTTTAGTTCGGACTAGTAGTACAGGACATAGACGTGAAAATGGATGAACTAGGACAAGTTAATGGTATGGTAAAAAAAACCTATGCAAATTGATACTGTAACCGTGAACAGATGTTAGATCAAGATACGGAAAGCAATTTTCATTATTCTTATATGATTTGAAAAAATAGGTAGACTCAAAAGTGTAGTGTCATATAAAAATCACAGACGGGGAAAGATGCAATACCCATACTTGATTTATATGCCATCCTCTATATACAAACTATACATACTAGGCCCGACTGTGTCTTTACTCAAGGATAAAGCGCACCTAGTCGGAATCGTCACTATCATGCTGAAAAACTATTTCAACATCACTGTCATCTTCACTATCACTGTCATGAACTAAATCCAGCCAGTTGATGCCACCCTCATCTTCATCATCAGAAAGAGTGATGCCTTCAAATAGCCTATTGGTACATCCCTGAAAAAAGGTTTCGAAAATTATGCCATTTTCTACATGCCACAAAACAACTCACTCCTCCTTCTTCGTTGAAGTGTGCGTACGGATTGTTCTTGTCAAGGATTCGGTTGCAAAGCCAACAGAAATACACGTCGCATTTAGTGCACTGCATTTTGTTGCAGCCCTCGTTTTTCTGAACAGCCGCTGCTCAAACGGAAAAGAGACTGCAGAGGAAGCATACCTCAATGTTAACACGACATCGCGGACACGGCTTGCTATTGCCATCAATCCATCCCTCGTTGAGTATAGTATCGATAAGTTTCTAAAAGTTTCTAGCGGATTCCCTGCAGGAACGCATGTCCGCGCATGTACAACGGTGCGTATTTGTCGCAAATGACCGCGGGGACCGCCCTTTTTCGGCGACCTAATGTCCCCCACCCTCTGATTTCTTCTCTCACTTCCCACGCCGCTTCGGTGCGAGGACTTTTATGCGCACATTACCGTATTTATAACTTCCTCCGGAGTATCACAAGGAAACCATTCTTTCCTACACTACTAATTCACGAACTCAATGAAAGGTCACAAAGATGTGTTGAAAAGTAGATGCGAAAACTGCTCCTCATTTGGTTGAAGTGGAATCTCAGATAGGAACCACTGTTCGTGATTAGGAGTTCAATTTAAAATAATGATTTCCCCACTTCTTATCAAATACAAGGTTAGCACTCGCACATCAGAATCCTCACACATTTGGCGAAAGTGTCAGCGTAAGGCCTCGTAGCTTCTGTGAGTTGTTGCAAAAGAAAGTGGCCCAAGTGAAGCGCGCATACGACCAGTCATGAAAAATCATTGCAGTGCCAGATCGCGTAGCGACTGAAAGCGTTTGGCAATGCCTAAGGCCTATGGCGTAAATGATTTGAACTTTCTGCTTTGAGGATGGGTCCAAGTCAGTGAGGCGGTGATTTCAAAAGAAAAAACTACCTGCAAATTTTTCACGCCTCCATACTTGCGAGCCATGAGTGCTCGTTCTTCTTCACTCTTCACCGCATTCCACTGCTTGAGAATCCTTTGCTTATCAACTGCAAGCCATTTATATATCAAAATATCTAGTCTAAGGCAGCTTGCTACAGCGCTTCAGGAAAGCAAGGTCATAAGCTTTTCATAAGAGCATTTTGAAAAATTTCGCGACCCATACTCAATGTCGGCGCTGTTTCAGTAACCGGGGCCCAAAATTTCAAAGTCGTGATTCTACTCAAACACGGTTTTACTCGACCCGCTGATGCCAAGCCATATTGAAAACAATTTTCTGAGGTTAAGGTGGGTACGTGATAGGAGGCCAAATCAACTTCGCTGAAAACTTGAGGGATCGTTCAAACCGCGCACAAAGGCGCACGAAGGCGCACGAAAGCCCCGGAACTGCCAAAGCGAAGGGATTTGCCGGCAAAGTGCCATATTGTTTGTGGGTGTATGTGTGTATGTGTGTGAGTGTATGTGTATGAGTGTATGTATGTTTGTGAGTGTATGTTTGTGAGTATGGCAATATGGCACTTTGCCGGCATATCCCTGCGCTTTGGCAGTTCCGGCGCCTTCGTGCGCGGTCTACCGATCCCTGACCTAGGTGGGTTATTCGACATGCTGATTGCGAATACCGTACTCCTTTTGCATTTTGAGGCCTTCTCATGAAGCTATCGTAGGCTTAAAGGCAGTGTCCCGGCAGATTTTGCACTTCCACCTTTTTGCATGTTTTAGGCCTTTTCGCCACGTAGAATCCGAATTTGAGCTTTGAACGGGCTGAAAAGGCCGATTTTGGGGCCTTTTTCTAATTCCAGAAGAGCAGCTTGGACGAGATTTTCAATGGAAAGTTGGGGGAGGTCCTCAGACGAAGATCCTGCCGCCTGTAATTCTTGCTTTGGATAGCATGCATCATGGGGGAGAGCGCTCGTGGGTTCCCGCGCCGAACGGGCGGGGAAGGCCGTCCAAGCGCGCGCCAGTTGGGGTTGCGCGCGCCGGTTCAAGGGCCATTTTCTCGGCCCAGCGGGAACATCACCCAGCCGGAGTGCGCCTGGAGGTCGATGGGGTGACCAGGAACCCCACCAGACGTATATCCCCCAGGACCCGAATCTGCCGGGACACTGCCTTTAAGGTAGGGGCGCAAAATCTTGTATTTGGCAAGAAATAGGTCTAGATTTCATCATTTTGCTTCACGAATATCACACTATCCTTGCGTTTTCGGACCTTCTCGTAAAGTTGCGGTAGGTATATGGTAGGGGTCAAAACCACAGACCTGCAAATTTGTGCAATGGGTTCTTGTGACTCGCTCACGAACATCATGGTCATTTCGCATGATATCTTTACTTGACTTTTCGTGATCAAAATTGGCCCGAAACGCGAAGAATGTCATACATTGCAAGTTACCTAACTCTGCAGAGAGTTATTGCAGCGAGAAAATTTGATATCCGTACTCGGCATGCTCGATAGCTTTTCTAGGCAATGTTTTATGCGAATTCGGAAGCTCGACCCATCTACGGAACACCCACCGCGATCCGAGGAAACATATGTGTCTGAAGTAACAGTATATTCATGTTCAACGGGATAAATACGCCCCTAGGCAAAATAGAGCAAAATCGTGGTTTTGATCCCATACATACCGTAACTCCATGAAAAAACCTCAAAATACAGAAAGAATTTGATATTCGGTGATCAGCACGTCAGAAATCCTCCTAGAGGGAAATCAAACCAAATCCGGATTTTGACCTCCTATCGTACATCTATAGTGACCCCACCGAATGCCTCAAGGTCTTAGAAGAGAAGTCTCTAAATCACTGAAATTGAAAAAACGCATCAGAACAAACGGCAAGACTGAGTGAGAAAAGTGTTTCGGATGCAGTGAAGCATTTAACTACTTTGTGTTGAGAATACGCCAGCTGCGTAGATGTTAATAAACCTCAGATTAGAATCGTAGTGATCGGATATGCATGGCAAAAGCCGACACGGTTAATTAGATGAAGGGAGTAGGTATCAACATTTGGCTGAATGGAGAGCAGAAGACAAAATCAAAGGAGAAGAAATTTCATCAATTGGCACTTGTATGGATTTGCAGAATCTGCTCAACGATTTGGCAGTTTATACAAGACAACAGGCTACTGGGCTTCAGAACTATGACGTATATGGTAAGCCATACATCTGGATTCCAAAAGAGCCTCTAACGCAGTTTCTTCAAGCACTGCCAGCTTCTATATTTCTCCAAAGCTTTTGTTCGTGTACTTAGTATGAAATACATCACGACTAGATAACCTTGAAAAGACGCAAACTGACCCCTGTATTTGAGGTAAGCTGACTGAGATAAGAACGGCGCAAATATGGCTGTTTGCTACTACCGCGCTTGCGATCATTCAACTCTGCTCACGCATGCATAGACGAATCTTTTGACTTTTCTAATAGATTTGAAGCAGATTTCGAAGTAGATCATCCAAGGCTCAATTTTTAATTGATGAGATCTATGCAGGAAACGTCAAAGTTTGCTATAGTATAAATTTGGCTGCTGCTAAAAGGCTCAGAATTGCAGGTAACTCACCTGTCTTAAAATCGCAGCCATCAACGCCATGATAAGCGTGGAAGCAGATTACGCAAAACGACAGCCCACATTTCTGGCAAGTACCAAGGTTGAGTGTCCTGAGAAGGGCTCACTGATTTAATGTCAACGAAGCACTAACAAACCTACCGTTCACTAACTAGAACAGGTTGCTGACAAGATTTTCGAGGGCAAGGCACGACATCAGTCATCTGGTCTAAAGCTCTATCCAGTAAAATACGTTCGTATCTCTCGTATTCCTCCTCAAACAGAAAGATACATCACTAGGCAATAGGTTAATACTATCGTATCGCAATCACTACCTCTCCAATGATAGATCGCACTACTTTCTGCGAAGCGGTGGACGGACAATTTGCTGCTGGACAAGTCAGAGCCCTCACCTAAATTTCGCTAATGGATGAACGACGAACCATAATGAGCAACTACCTCAGAATTTCTCAGTCGTTCGGAGAAGAAGCTGGATACGCAGTCTTTGCAGAAAACGTGCATACATGGTCTGAACTGTACGCAGTAACGTCCCATTTTGTTTTCAAAACAAATCTGTAAAGAAACTGTATATATGCAGAAATCAAACTACAATCAACTTACCTCGCAATCATAGCAACCAGTCTCAAAGTGACGATTCTCAGAAAGCTCGCTAGAATCGATAACTCGACGGAGCAATTCCAAATTAGTGAGATTCTAAATAGACAGTACAGCCAAAGGTGTGAGTGTGCAGTGTCAGTAGCGTGACACACATGCTTTTTGGCGTAAGGTATATCATCCAGACAAATCTCAGTCGATGCAGTGACGGCCTTTTCCACAAAAGTTACAACTTCTTCACAACAAAAGTAAAGAACGCTCATTCCAACATTTTCCTGACATATTTCCTCAAGCCGATGTTTCACTCTTGATGTCTAAAATAGCAGCAGTTGCGGTGAAAGCATGCAATCTTCAATCAACATACCAGATCTTCACTCATCCATTCGCACTCTATATCCAAGTCAGGTTTCACACGTGGGTATTCAGATGGCAAACGATAACAGATATTCACCGGTGGCAAAGTCATAATTTCAGAAGAATGCTGATCTGAAACAAGTAATCGACTTCCGAATTTCGCACGTCGGCCTGTCTGCATATTCCAATTGGGAAGTTCCATTTTGGCTATCCGCAGCAAACTTTGCAAGCATAGAATTCAGTATGGATTGCATCGAAAGCATTTACCGACTCATTGCTTCCTAGCAAACTCTCTATTTTAGGTTTCATACTACGCCGCAGCACGCCGCGTTCTGCGGCGTAGTATGAAGGAGCACTTAGGGGACTGGAACGGTGCAGAAAATATATAGCTGTGGAGGAAAAACTGAAAACCGCTTCATAAAGCCTTGAGAGGATCTGCTTGTTTCATACTCGGTTTTCTTTGGCTTCACGGCAGAGCTTAACGAGCATGCTTGGCAACAACGGATCGAAAGGCTCGTGTTTAGTGTCCCTATGGCAAACACTAGCAGCAGTAAGCGCTGCAGAGAAGTAAAGGCAACCGCGAGCTACCAGATTTCGCGGCCTGTACGTGGGTTTTTGTGTGAAGCTAAATTAGATGGTAAATGACAGCTATAAAGCAACTTGAATTCAATGAGCAGTGCAATAACGCATATCAGAGAGGGATAAGATTTTGAGCTGGTTTGCGTTTAGTTTCGGCTGATTACCAACTTCCCAGAATCAGAATCAACAAAAAAACATACTTCCAGCACATCGGGTAGTTTATTCTTTGTAAAACGCAGGTTATCCCCAAATAAGCTTAACTATGTTCTCCACCGCAAGCAGTTGTACCAACAAAATTGTCAAAGAGCAATATTTTACTGTGATACAAAGTGGCAGATAGGACTTGAGAAGTAGAATATGAAAACCGCTAATATGATCAAATTAAGCTGCCAGTAAGAGGCTTGGTGAGGCTAGCTCAAAGCAGGGTATGCCCATAAGAGTCAATCTAATCTCGGCAGAAAATAACATTCTGCACAAGTTGAGCATCTCCACAGTACATTTACTTTTATAAATGAAAGAGAAATTCATGGGAAAAAGAAGTTAAAAAAAGCACATTTTACTCATATCAAAAGAAATACAAAAAGGCGAAAAAGGTAAGTACAGAGGAAAACTCGCCATGTTTTGTAGTGACAAACAGCTTGCGAGGTTTTGTGAATGGTTTCATCTCCACCGATATTCTTCCGCAAATGGGGTCGTAGCCATCAACAATCACATGAGACTCATCATACACACTCTTCAATGCTTCTATTTCCTCTAGTTGTTCCTCTCGAGTGTCAGCGGACATTCTGGAGAATAACGACATCTAACTATCAGACACCTGCTGATAATGTCAAACCAGAGACTATTCACGATAATACAGGCAAAGCCAGTGAGTTGATACGATAACCACACGAATGGCGCTTATGAAAACTTTCATTCAAACAAAAGAAAGGTATGTACAGTAGAGGACATTCTGCAGAGAAGATTGATTCACTGGAAAGTCTTTTTACTTTGTAAATCCCTCAAGATCTCATCAAGATCATCATCCTCCAACTTGTTCTCCAGCGAAGGTATCAAAGCCTGAACTTATACAAACATAACATGTGCAGGACTTGTGCCAGAACATACCTTCGCTTCTTCCGCAGTTTCAGGACAAAGGTTGACTATTTGCGCCACCTCAAACTTGTGCAAAGGTTTTTGAGAGAATATAGCACGAACGGCTTTGATTGTTTCACGATTCTTGAACCTTGACAAACGACGCGCATAATTGAGCGTTTTGATAAAAACCTGAAAAGTTCTATGGTTGACCTAGACTTCGTTGTCTTGTGATAGCAAGACCCACTGAAACAGCTATAACACAAGCACCAAGAAATTTTTCCTCCTCCTACTGTCAACTCAAAACAGAACTTGGAGCGACATAGAGCGAACTGATAGCCAAAACTTGGAATAATACGCAAAACGCACTTCACTCATATCCTCGATTTCATCTTTCGCCTCATTTTGTTGCCTTCTGTGCTCTAAAAGCAGGAAAACTTCCGATGTCAATAGAGCGTCGCAATTTTGAGATTCGAACTCTGAAGTCGTCAATAAGAACCGTGAAAAGAAAGTTGTAAATTTAGTAAACCACCTTTAGGAAAACGCATCTCAGTAGCATCTTCTTCCACATTGTCGTCGGTAGCTTTTACTGCAGAGGACATCTCAAAGAATGGATCGTATAAAAAACCTTCCTTCGTGCATTAAGCGACGTACGGTATATGCCCAACTTCCATCGGCTGCGAGATAACGTGCTCCAAACAAACAGAGCCCCAAATCTTGTTAGAAGACCTTATTTTCAGCGGTGTTTTCTTCAGACACACTACCATAAAGAAACTATAAAACTTCTTACTAGTTACAGTGTTACTTTTCCCTATAAACTTCAAAATCGCTAATGTCATATGGATTAAGGTTATTTTTCCTGGCGATTCCATGTTGTATCATTATAATGATATCGACTTTGGTATCTAGCATTTCTACACATTTGCGCTAGGTGCACAGTCTAGATTCAAGATTAGTGCAGCAGGGAAGTTGACTTTGTGATTTACTTGGATACGTCTTGAATAATGCCTTGTGTGATCATGTTCTTAGGAATCCTACTGCGAAAAATGTTTCGATCATTCCAAGAATGACATTGCGCACCGCACAAATCTTTGGGGAGAATAAAAAGGTAAAGAAGTACATGCTTACTGAACTGTAAGGCATGCGTCAGCTGTTGGATCAAATTCATCTCAAATCGAAACAAATAATACAATTTTGGGGCAGAAACGCTTCTCCTCGGAATACCACAAACGGTGGCGAAACACACTCTACTGAAGATATTGGGAACGACAAAAATCAAGAGTAGTGAACGAACCGTTTGTTTTGGAATTAAAAACATCAACACCGGCTAAATTTTTTGGGCAAATCCGCGACTTCGGCTTTGCTCATGCTTTATCTGAGTGAGAAGAAGATAGTAGAAAAGAGTGAATTAACAAAAAGATACGTCTATGTGACTACCTTACGTAACTATGCAAGAAAAGAAATCGCAATTAGTTCATCTCAATTCCGCATAAAAATAGCCCCAGTGGCATAAGAGTCAATTAAAAAAGCAATTTTAAAGTTTCTAGACGGAAGAGAGATGCTGCACCGGGGAAAAATTTGAGATTTCACTCTAAATAGTGTGTCTGAAGAAAATACGTCGAAAATAAGGTCTTTAAACAAGATTAGGGCTCTGTTTGTTTGTAGCACGTTATCTCGCAGCCGATGGAAGTTGGGCATATACCGTACGTCGCATTAAGCATACTGATAGAATTCACGAAAAAAAACTTGCTTATAAGAAAAAACCACAACTGACACAGTAAAACAATGTCGGTTGACAAAAGACTGAAACGAGCGCTGACAGAGGCTATTTGAACAAACCGTTTGCGTATTAATAATTGCTAGTCTGCAAATGCACTGCCCATCATTTCACGGCGCCGAGGTCGCTGCACGCATGAAGAAAGTGTGTATTCCGCTCGCAAGGGGCTTGGGTGACCCCTACGATTGGGCTCCTAGCACGCGAAGGGCCACTTCGCAGCCCGCTCGCAGTCCCCATACTCTGAAGAAGTTGAAGAGATGTATTTAATTGGGGCGATAGGCAACAAACCGAGGTTGTGCCGCACGAAAACTGCCGATAGCAAAGTGGCACGGCGACTAAGGGTGGAGTAGGAGGGCAAATATATGACTCCACGCGATAAATAACTGGGTGCTGTCCCAGAATACGCCCAATGAAAAATCTCGGGTTCTCGCAAAACTTTGTACAGGGGTATTCGAAAAATCGGGACGATGGCACACCGCGCGCGACACGAACGCATTTCCATTTCTTGATCTCTATCCTCGAATGGTTTTCCTGCTTACATGTGATATTTAGATATTGGAAGTGACTGACAAGGGAATTGTTAAAAACAGATCGAAGTGGCCAGTTCAAGCAAGCTGTTATCATTGGATTCAGCATGAAACGCTGACTCTATAGTGGACGTCATCCGTCTAGTCACCTCGGTGCGGTGTGTGTTACTGCACACACATTTGAAATCCCGGATGAAGTGCTGGGGTCCCGCCGTGCCGTAGTCGCACCAACTGCACTTAAGGCTAAATCTTGACGCCAAACTACCTGTTTCTCTTATTTTGATACCTTTTTCCTTGTTTTTAGCTTCACGCACCGACTAACTTTCGATGATTTGTCGCCTTTATGCGTCGTGAGTGCTGTTTCAGATCGAATGGTTCGAAATTTATCAATTTTGCTTAGCAAAGGAGGCAGATGAGCAAACTTGCAGGATTCTGGAGTAAGTCTACTTTATTCAGTGTACTGTCGTATGTAGAAAGCGGAGAGTATCTCTTGAGCAGTACCAGTTTCTATTGCCTTTTCATCGATATGGAAAATTCTGGTTTTTTATGCCCATGCAATCCTCTGTTTGACTTGAAAACGCTTCTCATTGAAAACTCGACAAAAAAAAACCAGGATTTTCGATAACAGTGAGAAGGAAATTGAAAATTGTACTGCCCAAAAGATACTCTACGTTGAAGAAAGCAGACTTACTCCAGAATCCTGCAAGTTTGCCCATCTGCCTCCTTTACCTGTAAGCAAAATTGATAAATTTCGAACCATTCGATCTCAAACAGCACGCATGTCGTATAAAGGTGACAAATCATCGAAAGTTAGTCCGTGCGTGAAGCTAAGAACAAAGGAAAAAGCATCAAAATAAGAGAAACAGGTAGTTGGGCGTCAAAATTTAGCCGTAAGTGCAGCTGGTGCGACTACGGCACGGCGGGACCCCAGCACTTCATCCGGGATTTCAAATGTGTGTGCAGTAACACACACCGCACCGAGGTGACTAGACGGATGACGTCTACTATAAATCTGTCTCCCTTATCTGCAGAGCACCGCCAACAGCTATCATTTTGCTAAGAAACTGCATGTAAAGAACAAACTTGACCGTAAAGAGGCGTTCTCGGCTCAACGCTGGACCAAAACATGCAACTAGATCACTTAATATGGCCCATACATAGAGATGAGATAAAAGGGCGATAATGTGCCTAACTTCGCAATTTTTGTACACGTTTTTTTGCAGTAGAGCTACTCATAACTTCGCCTACAAAGGTGTTCTGCAGATACGAAAGGCAGATTTGAAATCAGCGTTCTAAGCGGCATATGGTATACCAGTGCATCACCTCCGCTTCGCGGAGGTTCGCACTGGCACTTCTATCCGTATGCCTTTCTCATGTTCGCATAATGATGACTTTGAAACTTACCGCGCGATGCTGAATATCACAAATGAATTGTAAACAACTGCTCATTCTTAAGGCATCTCCACGTAATATCGGTAATTTTGAGAAAGAAATCTTTTTCGCAAAGGAAAACCTGCGAACTCGAATGAATTATCGAACTTATTTTGGCTTGGTAGTCGTCATAAGGATAGTAGTCACTTTGGGCTACATTTCCGTGCAAAAATCTTTTCAAATTTGAAGTTACAGCCTTGCCAAATCGACTATCTACGCGATCACCACTTTTTGGCGCTGTTTTCGCAGAAAAGCAGACTTTTTGAGCCCTTTTTGGGTTAGAATTCATGAGGCGCAGATTCACTTTTCAGGCAAATCATGGCTTTGCAAAAAATTCAAATCTGGACTCAGTTTTGCCTGCTTAGAGCAGTGTGGATCCGCTTGACGCACAATTTTTGTAACATCAACGCAACGGATCCGTACGAAATTTTGCATGATGGGCCTAGATGCTGGCAAGGTGCTATGACTAAAACTTCAGCTCAAGTCATTTGCTGGAACTCGTTGCATGAATTTCGTGACAGACAGACGTACACACAGACACACAGACAAACAGACGTAAACAACCCTTAGCCCGTTATTATTAAGTCATAGATAGCTTGTTTGAATTGGCCACTTCGACTTCTGACCATTTCCTTATGAGCTGAGCGTTGAGGTGATGCGTGTTTGTATGGGTTTTTATGCTCCTGTGTGCGCAAAGATCGCAGTCAAACTCGTCGTCACGATTTTGAAAATGAACCATATCATCGGCTCCCAGATTCATGTGGAGGCGGGTTGCGGACTTTCCCTGATTATAGGATAACTTTGTCAAACCTCCATGTTACAGCATTATTTTTCGTATTCTCTCATTGACTTTACCCGTATAATCAGGGAAAGTCCGCAACTCGCCTCTACATGGGGTTTTACATGCTGTACGAGACTGATATCGTCGCCTCCCCGGTGTACGTTGGGCGGAGCATTCGCAGACATCCGAACACGTTGGTAAACTTTTTAACCCCTTACTGCAAGGCATGTTCTTTGTAATCTCTCGCTACCAACTCTGCCACGCATCAAAACAGCATATATACGTTATAGTTGGGAGAGTACCTATGAAGAACCATACTTTGCAGAGATTTGACAAGTCACCAACGCGTTCAGAAGTCTGCAAATGCTCCGCCCAACGTACACCGGGGAGACCATGATACTTATTTCTCATGGAAAGGTTGTTCGGGGTTGCGGTATGCAACGGTATGGAGTCATAATTTCACATTTCCTGGAACTCTGCATGAAAGATTCGACATGCTGACCACGAATATTACACTTTTTTTTAGCACGAAAACGTCTCCCTGCATGGTTGCGGTAAGAGTACGGTGAGTGTCATCCCAGTGTAGCTGGAATCTGTGGCGTATTCATCAAGGAACCAATTGGGTGGGCTTAACCCATGAAACTGGTATTCGCGAAGAAAGAGGGTTCCGGAACCCAGTGGGTTAAAGGCAGCGTCCGGGCAGATACGAAAATGTAGAGTACAGGGTCGCCCAACTGGCAATGCATCAATTTGCTTCTGAAGCGAGAAATCCGCTCAGAAGTGGCGACCGGAACGCCTCAGCGACCGGGACGAGTTAGTTCGATAAGCCAGAGTGCGCATCCGCACACAGTCAAAACGTAGGGTCCCACAAAGACTCTGCGTCTTAAACTTGGCGGCCGACAAAATTCAAATCAATTCTGGAAAAGCTCGTTTTCGGCGTTTTCGTGCCCTCCAAGCTGCACTTCAGAATCAGCGGGAGGAATAACAGGTGAGCGAAAAAAATTCCATTCGAAATTGCTCGAACGCTGCATTTAAGCCTACCCTATGGGTTCCGGAACCCAAGAAAAACACTTAAAGGCATTGCCCAGGTCAAATGGGGGTGGTGTGGTCTCGACGCAGTGTGAGA